ACCTATAAAATCCCAAATCCGTCCCAAAGCCTATATCGGGTTCTTTAGCAATTAAACCCAAATCCGTATCGCTTTCCCAAACAAGCTACCCATTATGTCCCATTAGGGTTTGGGCGGGTCGGTGCCCCATTATACCTATCCTAGTTCTATCCCTACCTTTTCTATACATAGCTAATGTCGACGCAAAATCGACAAAACTGATTTCATAATAAATTTGCTTTTGTCAAAATCATACACTGATTTTATTTTTTTTAATCGAATACACTGATCTTATGTTAATATGGTACCTTTTAGTGATCCTTGTACTTTCAAACTTATTAAGTGAGATGACAATGATTTTGTTTTTCATTAAAAGTAGGTTATTTTTTGACTGTTTTGATGTGGAAATTATCGATTTATCTCGCCTCCACGGTAACCCGATGTACCGTACAATGACTTGATGTGCCATCCTAATTATGTAAAATATATTGTAATATTTACGATGTTACAACGATTCGTTGTAATCAAATTTAAAAGAGTTGTAAAAAATAAAATGCACGATGTACACTAATGTACCTCAAAAGCTTCCTTATTGGTGTTAGGTCAATTTAAGAAAACCAAAAGGCAAAACATCCGAGGTAAGTAGTGGGAAAATTTGTTATGATGCGCCTTCTTTTGACTTAGGTAGTGTTTTGCATTAACTTTCACGCACCAAATTAACTAAGTTCACCCTTTTCCAATAAAGACCAAACATGGACTTTTAATATGAGGGATAGTTGTCCAAAAAGTCATAAACCTATTATACGACGGTCGATTTAGTCTTATACTTTTCAATTTAGCCAATTCAGTCCTGAATTTTTCGATGGTTTTCCGATGTAAACCTTCTGACCAATTTTGGCGTGGTATCATCTCACTTTTTTTAGGAGCAAAAATCTAGATCGATTTGGCAAGCTCTTTTTCGAAAAACTCAAAATTGGTACATATGTGACAAATTTACTTAAAATCAACTTTTTGATCACCAAAAACTCAAAACTGGTACATATGTGACAAATTTTACCTAAAATTAACTTTTTTATCACCAAAAATCCAAAACTTGTGCACCCATGACCCTAAACTGATAGATTTGTGACAAATTTACCCTCCGTTAGTTTTCGTTAAATTGGATTAATACCACGAAAAACCATAAATCGGTACACCTGCGAACCTCAAACCGGTACACCTATCAACTGTCACATATCATCCAACTAAATAATTTAACTGTAAAATTTAACGGAAACTAATAAAGGGTAAATTTTTTTATAAATATACCAATTTGAAGTTAATTTGGAGTAAATTTATTACGAATATATCGATTTAGAGTTCTTCGGGATACTAATTCCTTTCTTTTTTTTCCAAGCTCTGATGTCTATATGATATTTCTAGATGAGCATCTTCGTAAGTCGTGTCGTGTTGGAGAAAGAAGCGGGGACAACGTTATCCCATCAAGTTGTCGCAAAAGCAAAAGATCCAAATCCTCTTTCCTAGGTTATGCCTTGCTTAGTAGACAACTTACCCTCTGAGGAGCCTTTTCGCCTAGCCCCTACGGTCAACATCAAGAACTTCATTTTCCCAACATAAAAAAAAAAAAATTAATGAACGATGATGATGACGAACGCCCTTCCATTTGTTCTACAAGGCATTTTCAAATGCTGTTCTCACAGGAAGCCAGCTCGATCTAGAAGATTTTGGGGCAAAAAAAAAGTTAAATTAAATGAACTATGGAACTAATCACCATGTTAAGTTGTCTTTCATATTCAAATCATGAAAGAAACAGCAAACCTTTTTGACATTTGCCCACCTGCCCACCAAGTCCCAACCCATTTGAGGCAACCATTGGTGGTAGAGTCGTGCCCAATTTTGTTTATGCGCACGCCATGCATCAGCCCAGCAAGTTGGCACCTAGAGTAGCATTTTGACGCATCGATGTTGACATTGCCATGTTTCTCGATGCGTACGGTTCGATGTCGGGTCACGAGAACGATCTTAGACCATAATGTCCGAGGACTACAGGGGGGGAGGTACTTATTTTCTTGAGGGCGATGATCAGAACTCGATCCGATCATCCGAGCCTCACAAAAATTGGATTAGATAGTGGATTGTAATTGGGGGGTCGACGATCCCTTAACTCGGCACATGGAGAATGGCATTTGACGTATTGATGTCGATATCACTACGTCTCTCTCAACACGTACGGTCCGATAACAAGTCCCGAGAACGATCTTAAACCATATTGTCGGGGGACTAAAGGGAGGTACCTATATTCTCGAGGGCGATGATTAGAACTAGATCCGATCATCCAAGGTCGACAAAAATCGAATTAGATGGTCGATTGCAATTGGTGGATGGAAATGGGTTTTCATAACTCAATCCCTTTCTAAAGCCCCTTTTGCTCTCTATCTCTTGTACCGATGGCCAATGGATTGATTGCTTCTTAATGAACAAGCAATGAGTTTGTCTTTGACTAAGCCAAGAGCGGCAAGATTAGTCGAATGAGTTTCAAATCAAAGTTCGAGTATCATGAGAGACCAATGGAATCATGATCATCTGAGCTCAATTCACTAAGGCGAAAATTGGTGTTAAGGGATGAAAAGACTATTACCCTTATTTTCTTTTGATAAATTTACAGAAAATGGGATATTTTCTTTTTCAAATGTACTGGTTTTGCTCACACTAATCATTATGTGTGAATTTCTTTATTTTCCATTAAAACGATAATAATTTTTACCGAGCGTGAATTGGATGAAAAGTCATATGGCGCGTTTTAACACTACACGGGAAAGGAACGCGAGCAACGACGCTCGTGTTGTCACGAGGATCGAGTAGATTAACTCGTTCCGGGATTGCTTTCGCGGTGAGGACGTTCCCGCGCTTTCGCCTCGGGAACCGATGGTCGCGAGCGCCAATTCCTGCCCGCAGGAATTTGGAATTAAAGCGAGAGGTTCGTGACAACATCCTCGAAAATCAGTCGAGACTTTTTCAAATCCGCGATCGACAGACGACGGACTTAGCCAATTAAACGGGGGGGGACCGACTCAAAGGAACGTCGTGGGATTTTCCAAAACGCGCCGCCGTCCCTCTCGTGCTACGGGCGTACTCGACGCACCGGCTATAGAGAGGAACCGGTTGCTGATTGGGCATCTCGAAACACTCTCGTTGACAAAGATGTTAAATAAATCGAACACTACCCCTTTTCCTTTTTTCCATCATCCCACGGGGGTCGCACCTGCCCCTTGCCTTTAAAATATCGAATTAAGAGACGAACAAAAAACCACCATACTCACCCACCTACGGGTAGCTCAGTTGGTTAGGGCGTACTCGGGATTTGTGTGGTTAGGCGCACTGGTCCCAGGTTCGATTCCCCAGCTGAACACTTGTGATTTAAGTGGGGGGGCCATGGCGGTGGATTGCTGTGCTAGTCCCTCCCGAGGAATAGTCGAGGCGCGCGCAAGCTGGCCCGGACACCTCGGTTATCAAAAAAAAAAAAAAAAGCCACCTAACTCCAAAATCGCATCAAAGAACCAAAACAGGGCCCACAAGAAAAAAAGAGAGAGAGAGTAAAATCGCATCGAACGGCAGCGTCACGGTCGAGGGCCGACCCAAAAAACGGGCAAGCTCGTTCGACGGAGGATGTCGCGCCAGGAGCAATCGCAGCCGCCCCGTTTCTCACGCCGGAGCGATGGGCGATCGACGGCCGGCGGAGAATAATTCTGAGCGGGGCACGTGAGCGCCACGTGATGAGAGAGGGGGAGGGAGAGAGAGAGAATGGAAGGTATTCTCGCCGGAGGAGTTGAGGTGGGGCTTACCCTACCCTCTAATCGCTCGTACCTTCCATTTCTGTACATTTTATTTAAGCATGCTTTTTCATGACCCCCAAAAAAAAAAGAAAAAAAAGAAAGCATGCTTATTTATTTATTTTTTTTGAATTTATTTTTTAAAGAAAATTAAATAGGATGGATTAATAAATTAAATGCGATAAAAAAAGAATTCGAGACGTTGCTTCTGATTTTTTCGAGGCGCGACGAATGGGATTGCAAAACTCAGCTCCGTCGATTTAAGTACATATTCATTCGAATGTCGTAGCAATGAAGAATGAGTTTAAAATAGGTTAAAGGCCTTTTTTTTTTGTTTCTTAAAATGATGGCTTTGTCGATATCATCCAATCCGATCACGGGATATATTTACAAAGATACAAAATTGAACATTTGAAAATCGAGAAAATCATAAGGGAAAAGGAGGGGTAGATCCATCTTATTTAATCGAATATTCCTTTTAAATCGTCGAAGAAGGATACATCATCGAGATCATATCACCTCCCAGATCGCCTCTCACGACAGAGGATTCATATCCGCGCGCCAAAATCAATATTCGAATTCGTGCCATCCCGAAACACCGAAGGACTTCGACCCACAACGTGGCGAATCCCGATTGGTCGTCAAGACGCGATCGACTTATTCAAAGGTCCATCGTTATTCGAATAAAATCACTACCTTTTCATGTCAAATTCGATCGCCTGTTACGTCGTTTCATGTCGTATTCGGATAAAATCTACATCTATATTTGTAAAACGTGCCGTCCAGCGCTGATTTTGACTATCTTTCCATTCGCCACAACCAACTTCGAACCAGAAATCACCATATCCATTTTTTTTTTTTAAATATTATTTTTTTAAGAGATTTTTCTCGATTTTCTTGTAAAAACAACTACCGAAAATGACCTAGAATGTGACCATCGAGTATCAACGACGGCAGCACGTGGGGTGGGGGGGAGATCGTCAGAATGACTAGGAAGGGTTGGACGGGGCGGGGGCCAATCAGGAGAGCCCGCTAGCCTGCGACCGGCCGCACCGGATCGAGGCTCCCGATCAGGAAGCCAATATGATTTTAGGCGCGATTGCTTCGAGCACGAAGGAGGCCTCCTCCTCCTCCTCTCTTCTTTTGTCCCGCAGTGTGCGCCGAGGGGAGATTTTTCGCTGCCTCGCGACGGCGGCGGCGGCGGCGGCGGCGGCGGAGGGAGGGACTGACGAGAGCGTGCTGCGGAACTGATCGGGAGGCGGGGGACGGGATGAAGAAGCGGAAGCGAGAGATCGGCGGCGGCGGCGGCGGCGGCGGCGGCGTCCGGGGGGGATTCCACCGCCTCCTCCGCGGGAGGCTCGCCCACAGCTGCCGCTTCCACGGCGGCCTCCTCCCGCTGATCTCCGCCGTGTCCGGCTGCCTCCTGTTCCTCCACGCCGTCCTCTCCCTCCTCTCGCCTTCCCCGTCGTCCCTGCTGCAGCAGGACCACCTCGCGTTGCGACACCGCGGCTCGGTAAATGCTCGGATCTTCCCGCGTCGTTTTGGTGTCCGTCTGAGCGTGCGTTGCGCTCGATCTTCGCGTGAGCTTCCGTTGAGTGAGAGGATCGGTCGCTGATGTACTGGTTGTTTTTTTTCTTTTTTTTTTTTGGTCGTGTGGCGCGTGATCAGGCGTCGTCGGATCGAGCTGGCGACGGATTGGAGGAGGAATCGCCGGCGGCGGCCGGGAACTTGTTTCGTGTTCCGGTAATGAATGTTTGAATCGCGTCTGCGGGTGGTGTCGATAGGTTGAATCATTTCAGTCTTGCGTTGTCGCGTTCGTCTCGTTTCGCTGATCTTGAGATTCGTTTTTTTTTTTTTTTCCGTTGTCCTTTTTGATGCGAAATGAGCAGTCTACTGGAGGAAGTTTGAGTCGCGATTTGTGGACTTCGAGGTCATCGAGCTTCTTCTACGGCTGCAGCAATGCCAGCGGCCAATTCATGAGTAAGCATTCCTGTTCATATCTCATGTGTTGACTCTCTTGGACTGTGTCACTCATCCTTTGCTGCAACCAGTCATGGCACGACTGTTGGAACGACAACTTTCGGTTTTCGTCCGGCGGAAAAAAAGAAGAGGAGAAAAAGGACTAATTTAATCTGGGGTTGATTCTGTAACTCTATCGATGGGTGTTACTACGCTTGACAAGTTCTTTCCTCTTCCGGCATTGCTTTTAAGTCCCCTTTATCGGTAGGTGGAAGAGCAGCAATTGAAGCACTTACTAGTCACGGACAGCGCTGGCCTTCATTTTGACTAATTTTTGAATGCTGTCTGTCTTGACATAATTCTTGGCATTTGGTTTATACGGATTGTGGACTCTGTTTTGTGACCCTTTGCAGCCGCTGAGGCGAAAACGCAACCTAACCGATACCTGTTGATCGCCACTAGTGGAGGATTGAATCAACAAAGAACAGGGGTTAGTTAGTTAAGCTGCGCTCTTAGCCATACCTGTTTTTACTGTTCTTTTTTGATAATTAAGTGCCATTTCCATGCGACCATAAAAAAGAAAAAGCGCCATTTCCCTTCGCCTGTTCAATGATCCTGGGAACATACGTCCTAGTATAATCTATTCGAGCTATGGAAGTATGGAAGCGTAATTCTACTTTTGCCGTCATAATCTGACCATTTTAGTTACAGCTGTCTTACTGCATTTGTACTCCTGGTCGTGAACTCCTCATATTTTTATTGATGCAGATAACAGATGCTGTTGTTGCAGCTTATATACTAAATGTCACCCTTGTTGTGCCGAAGCTGGACCAGAAATCTTTCTGGAAAGACTCAAGGTTTCTTGGCTTCTCTATTATATAAGAACCCTATAAAGTTTGGTTATTTATATTCCCGAAGGCACAAATTATCTGCACTTACATGGTTATTGTGCTCGGTGCAGCAACTTCAACGAAATCTTTGATGTCAACTGGTTTATTTCCTTTCTCTCAAAGCATGTAAAAATCATAAAGCAGCTCCCAGCAAAGGAGGGAGGAAAAGCACTGAACCCATATACCATGCGCGTCCCTCGGAAGTGCAACCCAAAGTGCTATCAAAGTCGTGTTCTGCCTGTCTTAAACAAAAAGCATGTAAGGACTGTTGGTGTAATGATGCTGGATAAATTTATCGTTGAAAGTTCTTCACCGTGTTCAAGTGCAGACATTGAACTGAAGCTTTTCTCTTCTAAATATATATCGGAGACAATCTACCTCTGTACTGCTAGCGAGTTAGTGCATGACAAGAAATCTCTCCAATTGATGCACTTGAAGGTGTATAATAGGTGGAAAAAAGATTTACATACTATTCGAGGGGTTAGATTATGTGCGCTAAGCATATAATCCAAAAATCAGGTTCAGAATCTTGCATTAAAATGGCTGCAAAATGTAATAATTTCGTGCTTGAAGTGTCAACACAGAAGCTGGACAGAAAATTGTGCACTGACATGGAGGATCGTGATAATGTTTGTTAGCTCCTGAAATGGTTGACTCAGCTACGAAGTCCTGGAGAGATATTTCAATGCTAGAAGTGCATTTGTTTGTTCAAACCCGTTTTATTGAATTCTTAACAACTGATATTCCTCTAAGGGCCAGTCTTTTGGTGACTTGTGATTGGTTGAAAATGTTTTGCCGCACATTCTGATCTCTAAATATTTTTAGTTGGATAAAAAAGTTTTGGATCACGTTCTGATGCCTAAATATTTTATTTCCCGTAAATCTTTGTATTGTTTCACAAATATTTCTATGAAGTCTCCGGATATGATTCATTTGACATCCCAACATTCTTCTCATCGCAGGCTGTTCAACTTACCAAGTTTGATTACAGACTATCAAACAGGCTCAACAAAGATCTGCAAAAGCTGAGATGCAGAGTAAACTACCATGCTTTGAAGTTCACAACTCCAATTGTTGAGATGGGTAGGACATTGGTAGAGAGGATGAGGTCGAAAAGCAGTCACTTTATAGCCCTTCACTTAAGGTAGGTTTTCCTCATTTATCCTGTCAACTCTCATTTTTGGAGGTCACTGCTATGCATTTCGATGTAGTTCAGTCCTTCCACTTCGCACTTCACACGTGTGAAACCCTGTTGTATATTTATGTTTATCAATTCGTCAGGTATGACAATTTTCTCTATTGCTTCTCTCTCCCAAAGACTACAAAAATTATGTGAGCTTAGGTTTGATAGTATGATGATAAAAAAAAAAAGAGGCACCTTTTGATTGGATCGGTGATATGTTATAGGTTCGAACCAGACATGCTTGCATTCTCTGGATGCGATTACGGTGGTGGAGAGAAAGAAAGGCGGGAGCTTGGTGCTATTCGAAAGAGGTGGAAAACTTTACATGTAAGGCAATCATAGCATGCAACAACTAGCGATAATAATGGGAAAAAGACTATAGAGATCCTCTAAAGTAGAGCAATTTTCATGAAACTGCAGGCAAGCAATCCTGACAAAGTAAGGAGGCATGGAAGATGCCCGCTAACTCCAGAGGAAGTTGGTCTGATGCTGAGGGCTCTCGGTTTTGGAAGTGATGTCCACATTTATGTGGCATCCGGTGAGGTGTACGGTGGCAACGAGACATTGGCACCACTGAAAGCACTCTTTCCCAATTTTCATTCGAAGGAGACTATAGCAAGCAAGGAAGAGTTGGCACCATTCTCATCATTTTCATCTCGGATGGCTGCACTGGACTTCATTGTTTGTGATGAAAGCAATGTTTTTGTTACCAACAACAATGGAAACATGGCCAAGATTTTAGCTGGCAGAAGGTATGTTTCGATCTTCTATCTGATTGTGGCTCATTTCTGATGTCATGATTACAATACTTCAATGGAAATGAGTAACTGAGGATACAGTCGGCGCACGTGAGTTCCAGTTGTCGAGTTGCTGCTTGCTGTTAATCACCATTCTGCTTATCCTAGTTGACAATGTTTTGATTCAGGAGATACTTTGGGCACAAGCCAACCATAAGGCCAAATGCTAAAAAACTATACAAACTATTCCTAAATCGGAGTAGCGCTCCATGGGAGGAATTTGCCTCGAGGGTTCGGACCCATCAGATTGGTTTTATGGGAGAACCCAACGAGGTGAGGCCAGGCAGAGGCGAGTTCCATGAAAATCCATCGTCTTGCATTTGCGAGAAACCCGAAGCGAAGTCCAGGGCACGCATGGATGCCCCCACAAGAACCGATGACAGCGGCGAAGCTGATAAGGAGAAGAACGCAGGGAAGGTATCGACGTACGATGCGACAGAAGAGCAGAAACCCGAAGATGAACAAGATGGGCCCGACATGGATTACATGGAAGACGGAAATGAAAACCAAGGGAATCGCTTGCCAAACGGATCGGATTCCGAAACCAACCTGCTCAAAGCCGAACAGCCAGAACTGGAAGAGATGTTTTCTGACTGAAGGAAAGATACGGTCCATCCCTGACTCCACTCTCCTTTCAATTCTTTGGGTCTTTCCATCAGCCCTTGCAGCCAATTCTGTTTCTTCGGACGACATCAAGAAGGCGCATTGTATATAGAAATCGGGCGCCTGATGTTCTCACAACTTCATCGGGGGGCCAACCGCAAGCAAATCCCGGGCTTCCGCGATTGAATTTTTGCTTCTCTTAATTGTGTATTCATGCAGCATTTCCTTGTAAATTAAAACAATTTTGGGCCCTCTTCTTTTTGCTGTGATTCTTAGCCATTTGCTTTTGCCGCAAGGCAGAGGAAGGAACAGGGGGAATAAGAATAGGTACTTACGTTTTTTGGTAGGAGTTATATGTTCTCCAATAGTTTTATCAAATGTCTGATGGGCGAATGTTCCCGACAGCAGCTACGCCAGAAAGTTTTGCATCTGTACGTACAGGTCCGCGTCTTTGGTGGGAGCAGCACAAAATAATTTTTTTTTAAAAAAAATGTTACTCATGTCGCTTACAGAAATGAACGGACAAAAGAATATTTTCATTATCATAAAAATATTTAGAAATAAATTATTATTGGTATCATTTTCATCGATTAATCATTTTTAGCGATGTCAATTGATTATTCCTCGGACGACTGCTGAACGGCGTCGTATTGTCATCGCTGAAAGAGTGGGGGGGAGGGGTGGGACCGGGGCGCGGGTGAGCCAGAGAGAAAGTCGAGGTGGACAAAAATCGCAATCCCCACTTCGGAGAACGACGTGGCATCACTCCGATCCATTCGCCACATTACCAGAGGCACAGAGCACATGGCATGCATCTCTGAGCGAGAGAGAGTGTGCGCGCGCGTGTTCGGTTCAGAAGCATCATCATCATCATCATCATGGCCTTGAGACTGCCATCGCAATTCTCCACGCCCCGCCACCACCACCACCACCACCTCCTTCGTCGGCGGAGCAGGGCCACCGCCGCGCTCTCGTGGCGGCGCTCTCTGACGGTGGGGGACGCCCTCCTCCCCTCGAGCTGCTCCAGTTCCGCCGCTCTCGTCAACGCCTCCTCGCCAGGTAGTAGTATAACACATCCCCATCGCCTCGCGAGCTCGGTCACGCGATTGCACGGAGCATCCCGTTTCTGAACGTCGAGCTGTTTAGCTCATCCTTTTTGGGAACGTTGGGGGGGGGGCGGGTATTCGGGGCGGTCGTCTGCGCAGTTTCGGACTTTAGAGAGTGTTCATTCATTTCTTTCGCAGGGAAATCCCGCGCTCGGCCGTCGGTCGCGCGCGCCGCGCAGGCGCCGGCCGCCGCGAATCTTGCTCCGGGGACGCCGGTTAGGCCGACCAGCATCCTGGTGGTCGGTGCCACGGGGACGCTGGGCAGGCAGGTCGTGAGGCGGGCTCTGGACGAAGGGTACGATGTCAGATGCCTCGTCAGGCCTCGCCCGGTTCCGGCCGATTTCCTCCGCGATTGGGGCGCGACGGTCGTCAACGTAGGTGCCGCGAACCCAATCGTTTTGTCTATAGTCCCACTTGGGTGGGAATGTAAAAATTTTTTCCCTCCCCTCTGTCGTCGTGGGTGTCTTTCCGAGTTTCCTGGGGTTCGATGCAAACATTTCCCCCTTTTTCGCCTCTGAGCTTCTCACACGAGGATTGTCCCCCAACATTGTAGGCAGATTTGAGCAGGCCGGAGACTATACCCGCGACACTCGTGGGGATTCATACGGTTATTGACTGTGCGACGGGGCGCCCTGAGGAACCAATAAAGACGGTGATTCCTTAGCCTTCTTCCTTTTCTCGTACAGCATTTCCTTTTTTTTCCTTGTAGAATCAACGGTCGCTTTAGCATTTTCTGCTTCACAGCCCCCATTCCATGAATTAAGCGAACAGCATATCGAAATTACCATGATTGTTTGGAATTGCTTTAGCATTTTCAGCTCCGTTTTCCCCTGAGACATCTAATTGTCTCTTTAGAGGTGACGATGTTACTGGTGGTAGAGTGGAGAAACGACCCAACTGGGCTAGTTTTCTATATTCAAAATCGCAACCGCTTCGGTTTAATTTCTTCTCTGTCGTTGAGATCGGTATATGAACATGTTTCTGGATGATACGTATTTGCCTGCTGGATCAGATTACATTTCATCTGAGACAATTCGATTTTCTCTTGGTGTTGAACATCTCTTCCTTCTGAGTTGAACCGTATGAGTAATCTGTCGTTTGTATCGCTATCTCTCCTCTTTGTAAACTTTTCTCAAGATAAAAAGATGATAAATGTTTAACTCTTACATCATAAGAAGTTTTTTGACTCAGGCCTGGAGTTGAATCTCTGCCAGAAGAGTGTCTTCATTTCTCACTGACGTGCATCTACTGCGTAATTAGATTCATTTGACTATCAGGTACATATCCACGGGTTTGATGGTCTTACCAGCTTTCTGTTCTCTTTAGGTAGATTGGGTAGGGAAAGTTGCTCTCATACAATGTGCAAAAGCAATGGGTATCCAGAAATTTGTGTTCTTTTCCATCCACAATTGTGACAAGCATCCAGAAGTTCCATTGATGGAGATAAAATATTGTACAGAGAAGTTTCTGAAAGATGCAGGCCTGGATCATATTATCATTCGCTTATGTGGTTTCATGCAGGTAAACATTCTGACTGAAGGTTGGGTCTTACTGATGATATTTAGCAACGCTCAAATTCCTTTTACTCACCTCTGAATTTGTAAAGCCAAAAGGGGTAAAAGCAAAAAGGGAGGGGGAAAAAAGAAAATACAAATGAATTTGAACTAATATGTGGTTTAACTTCTAGCTTCCCCATTGATGTCGCAGTAGAAGCAACACCTTCATATGAAAAGTGCAGCTTGCTCGTTTTTGTCCGCTCGAAGCTGTCTCCTTTTCTTTCTTTCTTTCTTGGCCAGACTAGAAGCTGTCTCATTCAATCAAAGCTTCACCCAGCTAACATCCTTCTTCCTCTCTACTGTCACTAGTAAACATTATTTTGGACTTGTGAGGAGGACTGTCTTTGTCCATTACATCACAACATCAAGTCTCTGTCTTTGGAAGCCCATTTAGCTGACTCAGAACTTCAAAGCTGCATGCCGCTCTCACTGCTCTTGGGTCTAAATAGAATTAAGTCATGGGTAGCAACCTTTATGAAGTTCAACAACGGAAATGTTCACCTAATTGAAGTTATATTGTTTGCTAGGTATAACCACGCTTCAATGAAGTAGTCCGTAACTATTTTAAACTCATCTTTAAAGAACATTCCTTGCTTATTGTCTCTAAATGTAGTTCCGATTGCCAATTTTTCAGGGACTGATTGGTCAGTATGCAGTACCTATCTTGGAAGAAAAATCAGTCTGGGGAACTGATGCTCCAACTAGGATTGCTTATATGGATACCCAGGTTAGTAGCTTATAAGAGGTTGTGCTTTTACATATTCTGTGAGGTCAATTCTGCATAATTTTTGGTCTGGATCTAATTACATTGCAATTTCACACCAGGATATAGCTCGATTGACTTTTATAGCCCTACGCAAGGAAAATGTGAATGGCAAGCTCCTTACATTTGCTGGGCCTCGCGCGTGGACAACACAAGAGGCAAGTGACGTCACTTCATGTTGTTAAAAAGCCTAAGATACTTGTCTATGTTCTCAATCCTTTGTGTTTTCTGCCTTCTAGCCTGATGATGTTAAATTTTGGTAAGCATCTCTATACTGGTGAAAAGGAAAATAGTGACAGGAGCCATATAGGTTGTATATAGAGGAGCCTTTTCAGTGACGATCAAGTGCCAATGCTGTGAGCAGTAGCCTTAATTTGAATTAGTCATTGTAGCAAGAGTGTTGATGATTATGTTTCTGTATTTAACTGTATCATTGCATTATGCTGTCAGTTTTTTTTTTCCCTGATTGGAAATGCTGTCAGGTAATAACACTATGTGAGAGACTGGCTGGGCAAGATGCAAATGTGACGACAGTTCCAGTGTCAGTCTTGAGGCTAACTCGCCAACTAACTCGGTTTTTTGAGTGGACAAATGATGTCGCTGACAGATTAGCATTTTCAGAGGTAATGCACTAGAGGACCTTCCCTTTACTGTCACAAGCAATGGTCCATATAGGTTTCGAGTGATACAGTGATTTTCGCTTACCCATGACATGGATGTTTTAGAATGTTACCTATAACAGGAGGCCTAATATGGGTTACATGCTCATTCAGGTCCTTTCAAGCGATACTGTTTTCTCAGTTCCCATGAATGAGACGTATGATATTCTTGGTGTGGATTCCAAGGATATTGTCACCCTAGAGAAGTATATGCAGGATTACTTCACAAATATTTTGAAGAAATTAAAAGATCTCAAAGCGCAATCAAAGCAAACAGACATTTTCTTCTGAAGGAGGAACATCTGTGTGTAAGTGAATTCTTTTTCCACGATAATAGAGTTATTGACTATTCGTTATATCACTTGAAAGTGAACTCTGCCGTCTGTTCAGGATCCCAGGTTCTTCCTTTCCCTATCTTTCCTTTTACCCTTGTAAGTTGTAACATGTTACACATGGTAATTACAGAAATCAGAAATTTTCGCCGATTTCTTGTTTGGCTCTATTATAAGGCGAGCTAAGAAGTGGTTTGCCGTTTTTCTTTTTTTCCATCAGTACTACTAAGATCGGATGAGCTCTCTTGCTCATCTTGTGTGGATTCAGAGAATGCTGCTTGTCTAGGAAGCATTATTTTGGGTAGGCTCAGTTGTTTTTTAATTTGTGCTGGAGTACCTTTGGAAGTATTATTCAATTGTATACTTGTCCATGTTTCGCATGGATTTTATTTTTTAAGTTTGATTGAAATCATATGTTCCCCAGCACATCTGACTTATATGAAAATATAGTACTCTTAAAAGAATGATAATAAGTATGAGAGTTAAATCAAAGAGAAGGAAGTATCCTTTGAAAGTAATATATATCCTTTAGCAGATAATGTATCATGGATTCATTTGCCTTACATATGAACACACTTTACACTATTGAATATCTCTTATGTCATATATAAAAAAATTCAATTTATCATGGACCATGTCTATTTAATTCCATTCGTATTGTTTGGTCATTTTCTTAAGTAATCATTGTCCTATAAGTAACATTACTCTAAGGGCCCGTTTGGTAACGTGCCAAATAGTGAAAATTTCTGTTCTTTTGTTCCCAGAAATAGTTTGGGAACAGAAATGCGATTGGTAAACTTTTTGTTCCTGGGCACATTTTTGCAAAAATTTGTGCTGAGAAACAGTTTTGGAAGAGAAACAAGAAGTAAAAAAGTTGCTTCTTGTTTCTAACAATTTTGAGAATCAGTTTTTTTTCTTCTTTTTTTTTTTTTCTTTTCTTATTTTGTGGTGTTGTTCTTCCCTCAGTGAGCCGGCCGCCGTGACCGGCCACAGCCCAGGCCTAGCGAGGGCGTCACGGCCCTCAAGCCGGGCGAGGGCGAGGGCGGACCTCGCCGCCCGGGCGAGGCGGCCTCGCCCAGAGGCCGAGCGAGGCCGAGCCTCGCTGTCGGCCGCGACGGCGAGGTCGGCCTCGCTAAAGACGCGAGGCTCGGCCTCGCCCGGGCGGCGAGGAGCCCTCGCCCTCGCCGGCGAGGGCGACCCTCGCCGGCGAGGGCGACCCTCGCCTCCGCCGGCGGCCGGTCGGCGAGGGCCGTGACGCCCTCGCCGGCTCACTGGGGCGTGGCCGGTCGCGGCGACCGGCCATGGCCAAAGAAGAAAATGGATAAAAAGAAAAAAAAATTAAATAATTTAAAATATTATTAAAATATTATTTGGGAACAGAAATTTTATGTAGTTACCAAACACATTTCTGTTCTTTTCTACTCTAGGAATAGAAATTTTGGACAGTTTATCAAACGCCTTCAAATACTCAGAAATTGTTTCCGGGCACAAAATAAAAAAAAAATCATTTCTGTTCATAAATAGCGCCCGAGCACAGAATGGTATTCATGCGCACCATAATATTACGGTTTTCACTATATGTTATTATTTTGAATGGAACCGAAGTAATTTTACTCTCTATGGTGTAGTATATTATAAGTAACAAAGTCGATTTTTCTCCCTATGTCATAGTATAGATCAAGAGATTTTTCTGTGTATATACCACATCCCATGCCGTGTATAGCAGAGTCAATTTTATGTGAATTTATATTTTCCATTCTCATTTTAGTACAGGTAACTTTAGCCATCACAAAAATGATGTAATATTTATAACTATGTTAATATCTTGAAAGAAAATTTTCTTAATTCTTTTTTGAAATTTTTTTCTCATTCATTCTCGTAAAGTCAAGTTTTTTGTCTTGTCTCCAAAAACTTTTTCTTGATAAAACTCTCAGATTAGATTAGATCAGGTGAGTCACCATTTTTAGGTTATGGTCTTATGGAGCGTAATAGCACGGGAGGCTTATTACATGTCTGGTAACTTACCTTCAGCAATCATTGGCAAAATCAAGGTATAGATTCAGTCCAGACACATAAAAAGGTTCCCAATAGATCATGTTGGGGTTTTCGCGAAACCTGACCCAAAAACAGGGTATTCGAACATTTCTTAGTCCGACCCATCGATCGACTAGAGATAACCCGACCTGCAGTTATAAGTCCAAGTTGGCTCAAGATGTCACCTTTTCTTTTATAGTTGTCTCCATCAACATTGTCATAATTCACATCTATTGTTTGTAGAGAAAACCATTTTTCTCAACATATCACCGAAAAAGAAAATGCTAAAATCGCAAAATGATGATACCAAGCTTTGTTTTTCTTTTTCTTTTTCTTTTTTCGGTTGAATATACCAAGCTTGGTTAAGTAGGCATTCAAGTTGAGCACTTGGATAGGTCTAAGTGGTAGGAGAGAGCGGTTTCAGGTTCTGTACAGATTCCATTTGAAACCCGGAACCTACCTATGGGAACAGGTTCTTAATTTTTTAGAACCTGGAACATACCTTACATACCTTGGAACTTAGAACTTATCCTGTCGCAGGTTTTAGGGTCGGTTTTAAATTCTACCCAGGTTCCACCTGTATGATTAATTGAACGATTGCAGTAAATTATCACATTTAATGACCACTACTTGCTGTTACAATCCATTTACTACAACTTATATTTAGACATACGAAGAATATGAAACATTAACAAAATGAAAGTCTCAGTTATAAAATGAAATCTCAGATTAGTGATTTCAGATTATATATTTATCATTGGACTCTATGGAATATAATAGTATCGAGCAAAGATATAGGCCAAGAAAAATGCAAAAATTTTAGGTTCTAGGTTCCACCTACCTAAAACTTAAAACTTACCTGTCGAAACAGATTCTCCAATTTTCAGAACTTGAAACCTACTCAGCATATCTTGGAACTTAGAACCGACAGGTTTTCACGAGTCCGGTTCTCAGGTTCCAGGCTCTATCTTGAAACTTTGCTCACTCTACTAAGTGGGACTTGGATAGAGCCTAACCTGGAGTGTATCAAGGCCTGAGATTCAAGCTTGTGTTTTGGGGCCAAGCCTGCCCACAGGATGACCAGTAGGGCCCGAGCCCACCAAGGCTTGACTAATTAATCGTTGCTATATATATATATTCTCTGTATAATTTAGGCCACAAGCATTGAAACTCAGCTATCTGGAAGCTGACATAATACCATACTGCAGGGGCTGTGAGCGACGATTATCGAGATGGAGTTTTGGACTTTGAAGAGAGAGAGAGAGAGAGAGAGAGAGAGAGAGAGAGAGAGATTATAACGAGTGGAAGGGGATGCTAAGAGAGGCGAGATGATGAAAGCGGAATTAGGCTCCATTTGTTTTACGGAAAACGAATAATTTGCAAAATATTTTCTTAAAAATGATTTCTTGTATCACTTACAAAAATGAATGAATGAAAAATATTTTCATTGTCTAAATCATAAATTGTTGTCAATATTTTTCATTTACTAATATTTTCAACTATACAAACGATTATTTTTAGGAAAATATTCTCCAAATGATTCATTTTTCGCGAAATAAACGGAGCTTTAATCTTAGGGACTTTGAGTTTGAGAATAAATTTCGAGAAGTAAAACTCTCTTTGCTTTTTTTATTTTTTCCTATTAGGTTATTGAGACTAAAAAGTAAACTATTCCAATTATATATGGTAACAAATGCGTTCATGCATGGCGTGTATAAAAAAAAGCGACATTTGACAGATTAAGCAAAACCATTTTGTTTACTAAGTATTTGAATTACTAAATAATAGAAACATATAAATATTTCGAAATGCAAATCTTTTTAGGAACGTTTTTATTGGATAGAAAATATTCAAATTTATTATTAAAGCATGTGAGATATATATGATATAGAATTATGACTTATGCATTTACCCGTAGAGTCAATATTTGTAAAATAAGTAATCAACGACATTAGATTGAGATCCCCCTAAAAATAACGGGTCCTCTTTGCTTTATATAATGGTATAAAGATTTTAATAAACTTGCATCCTGCATAAGTTGTATAAATACCAACAATTATTGCAACTATAGATAATAATAAACTTGCATCCTATGTAAATTACATAAATGCCAAACAATTAATGCAAGTATAGACAATAATAAAATTTTATTCTACATAATATATTTTTCATTAATTACTTGCAATAATTGATTGGTTTTTATTTATTCAAGTGAACTCAAAATGGTTCTACTTCAATTATTTCAAGAAGATTGTAAACCGATAAAACTCATCAAGCGAAGTCCAAGAACTAGAAGTTGGAAGGCTAGACTTATTGCCACAAAACCAATGCATGATATAAAAAAAGAAGAAGGAAAATATCTCTTCAAAAAAAGTACTATGAATTTTTTCTCAAATTGTTATAATGTCATCAAAGTTTAATTACTCTATAATGTATAAGAAGGCCCACGCACAAGTGTGACGATAATTAAATAAATGGGGTAATCAGAACTGAAATTTCTCCCATTTTAGTTAATTATATGAACTTTTTGTTTTTTTCAATCGGGCACTTGAATTCTCAAAATATAGGTCAATCTGATATTTCTGATAAATGGAGTGTCATGTCATGCATTTTTTGCATGATGTGGCTTGCTTATTATGCAATAACCATGCACGTTGCTGAGTAGGAGTGCCAAGTTATCTCATCTTTTCCCTTTCGTCTTCCATGTTCAATTGCAGTCCACACTGCTTGCCGTCGCTGTCGCTCGACGGTGTTACGAGGCCCTCGCCTCCCCAATGTCGCACCGAGCGCCACACTCTGTGCTGGCATTGTCGTCCACCCGTCACGTCAAAGCTTGCGACTCTCTCTCTTTCTCTCTTAGCCAGCCACAGGGCAAAGCAGCAAGCGGTAGGTGGACTTTGGTGGTGGCGGTTGCCTGGATAGTTGGTGGCGGCAGAGATGGAGTTGTGCGTGGCCGGCAATGGCGGCGATGCTAGCGGTGGTGCTGTGATTGGTAGTGGGGCGTGGTGGTTGCAGGGGCGGCGGCGGAGGATAGCAGTGTGGCGGCTGGCAGTGGCGGCGTGGTGATGACGGCAACTGGTTTGGTGGCGTGGCTATTCAGCAGAGGGAAGGAGGGAGTATGTTTGTGTGTGCGCGTGACATGGAAGACACCAGGACACCCCGGCGGTTTCGTTTGCCAACGTGGATGTTCCACCTAAGTGTCCACATCAATACATTTAACAACTCCTTAATGGCCTTAGTGTCACATCAACAATTTATCTTCATGTATTTAATGGAAGCGTGACACTTACCACAGTTTAAAAAGTTGAGATACTCAATTTGAATAAAAAAAAAATCGGATACTTGATAGCAAAACAGACGACAGATATATGTTTTGCGGTGTATAAATTGCACGTGATGAACTTCGATACTTGGTTTTATCCTTGCGCCACCAATACAGCTGGTCCTTACATATATGTGAATATATATTAGGGTTAATATTACGAAAAATTCAAAATTAGTACACATGTGATAAATTTATTACAAATTAATTTTTTAACCGCAAAAAACTTTAAACTGGTACACCTGTGACAATTTTACTATCTGTTAATTTCCGTTAAATTTTATTATCAAATTTTTGAGTTGGATAACACGTGGTAGTTGACGGGTGTACCAATTTGTGATTTTATAGGTGTACCAGTTTGTGATTTTTTGTGATATTAATTCAATTTAACGAAGGATAAATTTGTCACAAATGTACCAGTTTTGAGTTTTTTATGGCCAAAAAATTGGTTTGGGGTAAAACTGTCGCAGATGTACTAGTGATCTAGTTGGGAGTTTTTTGTGATCAAAAAATTAATTTGAGATAAATTTATCACAGATATACCTATTTTAAATTTTTCCTGATATTAACTCTATATATTATTGTGTCATGACCTAAGTAGCACCGACACGCGACACGTGACACGCGACATGGCACGACACGACACGTGACACGTTATTTCTCAAAAATACAGAATTCCGACACGTTGCGACACGTTGTATATAAAAAATAAATTTTTATATATACATGATAAATTAATTTGATTCAAATCCACAAATAAATAAATAATAAGAAAAAAGGAGCCTAAAATGAATTTACAGTAAAAACATTAAGCCACCATTTGTTAATATCTATTCAAAACCGGATAATAGAGGCAGCATGTCTTGTATTCTAGACTTCTCAGACTTGCAATCCTCCCTCTGGGGGATCACAACCAGAGGAGGCAGAGGCCTCTTCGAAAAGAAACATACATATGAAGGTACAAAAAGAAAAGGGGCAAAATGACCGAAACTACACAAAGAGAGCGATCATTACCAGCACTGCAAAAGGGGAACGACGTCGGCTGCGACGGTGGTGGTGGGGTAACGAGGAGACGACGTCGGCGGCGGAGGATACCCTCCTGCGAAATATCGCTGGTACCCCTCGAAGGGAGGTTGAGGCGGCGGCGGCACAGGCCCTGGGTAGGCCTCAAGCGGCAGCGCCGAAGGGTAATTTGGTGGCGGGTGGGGAGCAGACGGTACCCAGCGAAAAGCGAGATGCAAGAAAACGTTCAAGAAAAGCAATCACGGCGGAGGAAAGGGTCTTGAGGAGATCCAGCGGAGGAAAGAAGCTTAGGGCAGACAGAAGTAATCGAGCTTTCTCTGCTTTTCTTTTTACTTTTTTTACTTTTTTTTTATTATAAATTTACATTTTGACCCCTAAATTTTTGGAAATTTGTAAAATTAACCCGTGCGTGTCGAAAATCGCGTGCCAGATTCCCGACTCGCGTGTCGCCGGCGTGTCCGGCGCGTTGACCGCGTGTCGGACACCGCTTCCGACGCTCAAATACCGTGTCGGTGCATCCTAGGTCATGACCCGACACTTTTTCTTAAGTAAACCTTTAGTTGCCTATTGGGCACCATACTTTTTTCGGTCGAAAAGCTCATTTATGCCTACCCTACATGGTTGTGACGACTTCTCTATCGATTCAATTTTATCTACACTATACAATACTGCCCCGTGACAACAAGTGGGGTGTAATGCTGGGTGTGCTACAAACAGGCAGATTCATAGGCCACACCTAGTTGCTGGCACAGAATATATGCTTCCAATTCCATTCTATCCACGCTATAAAATATTCAAAGTGCAGCCTAAAAATGAAGCAACACCTTACCCTTTCCCCCCCTCTCTCTCTCTCTCCCTCTTTTTTTAGTGCCTACAATAGGACTATCTCTGCATCTACCACCAGCTTTCCATGATTGTTCCTTCTCAAATGTCTGAATATCCAAGAAAATCTAGCAACCGCAATAGGGTGTGAATGCATGCGTGGTACCTTGACAAGTTAGGGCATGCTTCTTAAGATTAATTCGAATCGAGCTGACTTGAGAGGAGTTGGATAAATGGGTTTCGATAAGCTCTCATAGCATGGCAAGAAGAACCTTGACCAGGTTTCGAGCTTCCGTAGCTTTGGTTGGCTAAATGGTGGACGATTCTGTTCGGTAAGAACATGACGGGCGAGGTGGCGTGTCGTGCAGTAGAAGAAAAATTAGAAAATTATCGCGTACATCCACAAACTCTATACCCACATCTTTTTGAATTTTGCAATACTATCGAAACAAATCTTGGTGGAATTTGGAGTTGTTGATGTTTGCTTTGTTGAATCTCCGTGTTATTTACGCGAAAAGACTCTCTCGATAATTTCTAAAGTCAAAGTAACGAGACAAGGTCTCGAGTTAGGCAACCCTTGATTCCACCGAGAGTCAAACCCTAATCGTCCGGTTCGCGGTCAGCTCTTGTCATCCCCCTACCTCATAATCTGATCAAAGAAATTAAGTCCTTCCCAGTCTTTTTGTGCCCCCTCCAAAAAAAAAATGAAAATGGGATCGCAAGTGCCGTAATTAGTTAATAATCTAAAGCCATTCGACCACTCAAATGGTCGGCCCGGTGGTAAATAGTTCACCTGTCTTTCACAAGGTCACGAGTTCGTTTTAGGTCGCGAATGAACACTCGATGATTCGTGTTGCGTCGTCCCATTACGACGCCCAATTGCAGAGATTTTTTGGCGACCGATATCTTGATAAGATTAGGGCGACGGCCTCGTTAACTTCACACTTTCCGGGTCACGTCGTAGGAGGCGGGGCGAGAAGACAGCCGACACTAAATCTTCCTTATCTTTTGCTTGACAAAAGATTCAAAAGCCGCTCATCGTTTCCAATTCATTCACGACAACCCCCGGTTTTCACTCACGGGGTAATAATAACAGTGCAGAGAGATGAATGATAGCAATCATGGCCCCTGCAAAGAATCAAACATGGTAACACAGATGGAGAAAGACAGAGAGAGAGAGAGAGAGAGAGGGAAGTCAAAACGGAAGATCTTAACCAATGGGCAGAGAGAGAATGGAAAGTGGGACAGAAGTAGAGATCCAACTGTTAAACTTGTTCACCCCGTACCAGAAAAGAGAATCCATCAATCCCCCATCAAAGCGAATCAAGAAAACACCTCTCCCTCTCCCTGTCTGTCTCCCTGTCTCTGTCTCTGTCTCTCTGTCTCTCTCTGCTTCATGAGGGTCCTCAATCTCTCCAGCAGCACAGCTTGTTAGCTCACAGGCAGAGAATACAATCATGGGTTGCTGCGAATCATCCCTCCTCAGGGAGACCCACCCGGAGAACGACCACCCAGCTCAGCAGCCGCCCCACTTCGGCCGCGGCCGCCAGCTGCAGCAAGGCGGCGGCGGCGGCGGCGGGGCCTCCCCGGGGGCGCCCGGCGGAGCCCGGACCTTCTCCGAGTTCTCGCTGTTGGACCTTAAGTCCGCCACCGCCGGCTTCAACCCCGACTTCATCGTCTCCGAGGGCGGCGAGAAGGCCCCGAACCTCGTCTTCAAGGGCCGCGTCAAGAGCGGCGCGTGGATCGCCGTCAAGAAGTTCGCGAAATTGGCGTGGCCCGACCCGAAGCCGTTCGCGGTACGCGGTATTCCGGAGCTCGAAGTCGGATCTTGCCTTACTTCTTGTTTGTTCGATTTTGGTGGTGTTACTCGGGTTTAGTTGTTTGTGTTTTAGCTCTTCTTGGGTGGTACTGAAGTGCGTGCATATTATGGGGCTTGTTGGTATTGTGTTAGGAGGAGGCACAGGGTGTTGGGAAGTTGAGGCATAGGAGATTAGCTAACTTGATTGGATATTGCTGTGAAGGCGATGAGAGGCTTCTGGTTGCGGAGTATATGCCGAATGATACTCTTGCAAAGCACTTGTTTCATTGTAAGTCGGTAAATTTCGCTTCTACTCCCGTTTAACATTTAATATGTCTTCAGCTCTAGCTTTCCAACTGAGGATGTCTAAGCTGCTGCATCCCCCGAAAGCTAATTAGCCGCCTCTAAGAGCTTCCTGTTTCTGTCGAGCATCTTAGACTGTATACTGCATCTGTATTCTGCATCTGATACATATTTAAAGCTGGTATCTTGTGTTCTTAATAATTCTAGAGTCTCTATGCTTCTCTGTGTCTATTGAGGAAAGCACGGTCAGATCCATTGTCTTTGATTTTGACCGATTCTAATGTGTTTTAGATTAATTTGTGAAGCTGATGAAAAGAGCGTGCAATTAGTTACGTTGCTCTTTATATGCCAAATCATTGGCTAAAACATGAAATGTCTGGTTTAATTTAGCTCTTCGCACCATTTTCCTTTGCACCGGAATAGCTGTGTAAGGAATTTTCCCTGAAACCTTACCGTCAGTCCATTTGCTTGAAGCAAAATGACAAGATGAAAATGCACTCTGCACAAGATTTCTATAGTTTGCCAAGACCATAGCCAAATCCAAGGAAGAAGCTTGATCCTCACAATGGTTGGCTAGAAAATTCACATACTGTATCGTTTGTGTTTGTCATAGAGGCAGAAGTAGAAACCTCTCATATCTTGCTAGAAACAGAATTGTAACAACACTCTTGTAGGATAATCTGTATTATCACTTATACTTACAATGGTCAGTGGCCAGCTATGATTTATTTGCTCAAGCAGTATCCACATCACTAAAGTAAGGGAGCCACCTCTTCCGAGATTTTTCTATATTCTTCTACCTGGCCATTTAAGAATCTCTGTGTAACTTAGAGTGCCGCATTTTGAACATTCTTGACAGGGGAAAACCAAACCATTGAATGGGCAATGCGTCTACGAGTTGCTCTCTACATCGCAGAAGCCTTAGAATACTGCAGTAATGAAGGTCATCCCTTGTACCATGATCTCAATGCCTATAGGGTTCTATTTGATGAGGTGATCCTTTCTCTAATTTGTCGTTACATTGTGGCCTAGATCTGAACTACATCACAATCATTACTAAGTTTTATAATGCAACTATGGATTGAACAGGATGGTGATCCCCGTCTTTCATGCTTTGGCTTGATGAAGAATAGTCGAGACGGGAAAAGCTACAGCACAAATCTCGCCTATATGCCTCCTGAGTATATGAAGAATGGTAGGCTGTCTCCTTCTTATAAAGGAATCAAAAGTTTTTGCTTGTTCCTTCGGTGGACTTCTCATTTGACATATGTCCTGCTTTTGCATAGAATTTAGTTCTGCATTGTTTCTTAACATATTGTGATGTTGTGTTTAGATACCATTTTGAGCTTATTCTTCTACTTCATTCCCTTTATTTTTGTGGCACTGGCATCTGTTTTTCTGAGCCAGTAACATCTAGGAAGACAGAAATATGTCTGGCATATCTTGAGAATGTTACTTGGTTTGTATGGAAAGTAATATTCAAGTTGTTACCTCTATAAGAGGGTTTCCTATATTCAGTCTCTCATATTCCCTCTCCAGATTAAAATTCTGTTCTATCGACCATTCTGCAATTTGGTCCCTATACTGACTGCATATTATCAAATATCTGAAGGCATATAATAGTGGGGCTAGTGTCTGTCTGTGTGAATTAATTGGTGTTTTCGTTCATGATTCGAAGAATTAAAGTACCTTGTCAGAACATGGATATGCACGGTTAAGTTCTTTTTAGGTTATATTGGCTTTTCAAATTGGAACGATAAAAAGGGTTTGCTTTTGGAAATTTTAAGCTGAACCGGCAACGAACAAGCATTTGATTTTGCTTCAGTTGTGGGATGTTTAACCATTTCAGGATTTTTCTTACCTTCTAGCTTGAAGATTCAGATTGTAATCCTTTTATCAGTGTTGAAGGTTAACTTCAAACTTTATTTAACATCAAGACTATTAAAAGCTCGGAAGCTAAGATGGGTTAAATTATTCAGGAGTTTCTTAACAGAACAACTTAGTTGTCTAATCGGTGAAAATCTATATACTCGCCCATATTACCACTAGCAAAAAATTTGGTTTGAATGTAAAAAGAATGTAATCAGATATGTGCACATAATTTACGTTTGATGAACTTATTCCCTTTTTCAAGCTTATAGCACCGGTTTGGCATTTATACATATAGAGTCTACACGAGGCATCTAGGCTGATAAAATGGCAACATTAGCTTTATCTTAAATGAAAATATGAAGATAAATGCTAGATAGGATTGATTGTGGTGAGGACGGTATCTGGTGACATAGACATGTGGACCTTAATAGTGAGATGTATGGATCTTTATAAGATTTGTCATCTTTGAAATGGTTAGTCTCAATTGGCAGATCGAGGATGGAAAGCCAGAAACTAAGAGACTTGTGAGATCTCGAGAAATTAAGATACGGCTCTGCAGTAAAATATCTGTTCTTGAAGGACTTGTTCATCTTTCCTTTTGTGCTTCAATCTTATTAGCCGTGTCTGCCTTTATTTGTACATGACAGGAAGGGTCACCCCTGAAAGTGTTGTTTACAGCTTTGGCACCATCCTTCTTGATTTGCTAAGCGGGAAGCACATCCCTCCTAGTCATGTAAGTGAGATAAGACTCTTTTTCTTGGTCAAATAGTGTTGTAGTTAAGATTCCATAGAGACACAAGTAAGTTATGTATTCTATCGTATGTTTAAATCAGACCATTCTTCTTTCTAATGCCATATGTGATGGAGAGACCTTTAAGTTTGATTTCCAGAGAAACAGTTAAATTTGAGTGCTAGGCCAGGCCACACTTGGATAGTAAATAGCAAAAACCTAGACGAAAGAGCAAAATTTATTTTTTGCTACAGAAGATCTATCACTTTGTTTATGAGTCGTTAGAAAGCGAACTGCATGGATTGGGTTGCCAGCCCAACAAGACGGCCTTAGTTAAGCAAATTGTTTTGTCATATATTCTTACTCAATATATGGTGTATGCAATAACTGTAGTTTGTTTTATGACGACTTAGCAATAGAAAAGTACTCTCCAATATTGATGATTTCAGTTGTTTTGTCACTCTTGTATATCTGCATCACATAGGCTCTTGACATGATACGAGGGAAAAACAACATTCAGCTGACGGATTCACATTTGGTGGGTAAGTTTTCAATGGAAGAAGCTACGATGGTGGTTAATCTTGCCTGTCAGTGTTTGCAACATGAACCAAGAGAGCGGCCTAATATAAAGGACATTGTTGCAACGCTTGTTCCTTTACAAACCAAATCAGATGTGAGCATCTCTTCTACGCATCCCTGTTCCTTCTGCTGTTCTCGTTTTGAGTTGCATTCTTGCTATGTTACAAAACTATGACTAATTAAACTAAATTAGCTGTTTGAATAGATGCCTCCAATTAGGGAAATGTTAAGTATAGCTTCTCCAAGTCTTTTTCCCATTTAGATCCTTACTTGAATGCTTCCTTTGAATGATCAAATGCAAATTGCCGTGCGAAAGTTTCTCCAAAATTGTTTAGACATGAAGGGGCATACACCCAAATACATGTAGCAAAAGAGAATGCATTAGGCACCATGAGGTATTGGTTTTATTGAAGTGCCTTGTTATTATTAAGTTCATGCTGAAGAATTGTGATTTTCGTTTTGATGTACTGTTCTGGCCTCATTGCAATGATTTATCGAATTCATCCCTGTGAAATGCCACTGTCATACCTGGGTACTTAGTATGCTACTAAGAAAATTCGAAGTTAACATTCGACAATAAGCCACGTTCTTTCACAACTTGACCATTGAACAATTGAAAGCTGATTTAAGATTTATCGGGATTTTCCCTTCACTTTTGGTGCTGGTGGACTTTCTTCTATTTCAATCCTTTCAGTGACAAATCCTAGAGTTGCAAATTACTTCATGAATCCCGTGGCATGAACTAAAATACTAAATTTGCAGGTTCCATCACATGTCATGCTTGGAATTTCCAAGCAGGAGGATATACCACAAGCGCTAAAGGCCCGTCTTTCACGATTGGGAGAGGCCTGCTCAAGGATGGATCTCACAGCAATCCACGGGATCTTGGTCAATGCACACTACAGAGATGATGAAGGAACCAATGAGGTACTTCACTTCTGCAAAGGCAATCTTGTACCCTTTCTGAGAGTTATGTGCTAATATTTATTCTGGATTTGGTCAGTTGTCCTTCCAAGAGTGGACACAACAGATGAAAGATATGCTGGAAGCAAGAAAGCGTGGAGACTACGCCTTCCGTGACAAAGATTTCAAGACTGCCATTGACTGTTACTCTCAGGTGAACTCCATCACACATCTGTATAATTATATCTTCTTCTGAAGTAATCACGTGGAAATCGAGATGCTTTGACTATGATTTTCATCTCAATCAGGCATAATTTCTATTGATTGGATGTTGATATATAATGCTTGAATGTTAAATATCTTCTCTTGTTCAGCTAGTCCACTCCATGCTGTGCCACACTCTATTTGGCATAGATTTTGTCCATTGGTTATTGGTTTATGTTCCTAGTTAGTTAGCTCCAGGTTGAGAACCCTTTCACTCTTTTCTCACTGGTAATAGATCAACAAAGAGAAAAAAGTGAGTTTTCAGCGAGCACATGTGAAGTATAGCTATTCATGGGTTGCTCTAATTTTTAATTGGGGCAATTGATTAGCTTCCTCAGTCATTTTTAACTTTGATTTTCCCTTGTCCTAGTTATTTTTTGTTCTTTTTTTTCCCAGAATTTTCAGTAAAGAACTTAAGGCTAGATATAATATCTCCTAGTAAGTTCTCAAAGTAGATTTTTATTGTATTTCTGCTGAATGGAGAGGTCCAGATAAATCTTAAATTCTGCGTTCCGATTCCATTTTTTCTCTGATTTTTTTGTTAATACAGTTTATAGATGTGGGGACGATGCTCTCTCCAACTGTATTTGCAAGGCGGAGTTTATGCTACCTCCTATGTGATCAACCAGATGCTGCCCTTCGAGATGCAATGCAAGCTCAATTGATATATCCAGAATGGCCTACTGCATTTTTCATGCAATCAGTCGCTCTTGCCAAGCTGGACATGCACAAAGATGCTGTGGACATGTTGAATGAAGCAGCTGGACTTGAAGAAAAGAGGCAAAAAAGTGGGAAAGGACCGTCGTAGCTCAGTCCAAGTGTAACTCTTTCTTTTGTGTAAATACTGGGTGAAAATTTGTGCAGAAGCATTTTTATTTCGTGTTTAAATGTTTTGAGCGTATCCGCTTCCATTGATCATAACCAACCAGGCATAACAACACGATGATTTTTGAGAGAGAGCTAGAGAAGGGCTTGCAAAGAAGCTTTTCAGTATGTGCTGTCCAGACATTTTCCATTATGTGCCATTGCTTGATTACTGGCAGTATACTTTGTTATTCGGATCAGAACGTCGTGGAGAAAATATATTCCTGAGTCCTTTTTGCTTTCATTTGTACCTGGCATCAGAGCATGTTATCTCAGAAAACCTGTTGCAGTCTGAAAGGCAAAATGTCGATGACACCAGTTGGTTTTCTTCTATCATCAAGCTTGCAAACTGTAATGTGCTCTCCTCTGCATTAATTTGGTTCTCTTGCCAATCACTGATATCTGAATATACAGGTTGCTCATTAGTTACAAGAAAAATGATGGCAAAACTTGCAAGATTCTGCAAAATGATCAAGACAGTAGAGACATAGGGGCTTGTAGTAGTTTCAGAGGTAAAAATGAACCGTTTGAGCGTGGTATGAGGATTGAAAATCAGCAGATATCTAGTTGAAAGTAGAATTATCATATGCATGGTGGAGGCACGCCATTAATTGAGCCGAAGCATAGTTTCTGATGGGGACAAAAAATGGTATTTAGTGGCCAAATCGCGTCGATTAGAACTATTTAATGGCTTAATTAAGACTACAAGCGATCAATGACCTTTGAGCCCCGCCGGTCGACGTCGACGACCTTGACCACCAGTGTGTTTGGCTTCCTTCCATAGATAAAAGGGGCAGAGAGAGAGAGAGACATTGGTGGTGGCTCCGACGGATGGCGGCAAGCAACACAGTTAAGGTGGTGGCAAACAACACCAATGTTAGGGGATGATAGAAACATAGGAGAAAAAAGAAGAAGATGTTATTAAACCTACAGTGCACCTCAAAAATCACTTACGAAAAAGCGCCACCTAGAGAGCAATAGCCAAAATGATCCGAGCCCTATTTTAAATTTAATAAAACAAAATATAGAGAGGTATCTTCAAATTTAAAAGTTTGCAGACATGGAAAATTAAACAAGGTAGACATTCACATTTCCTCACCAAGTTAGCATCATAAGTTGTTCCAATGTTTCAGATCACTCATAGCACCTCACTCTAGCCTGGGAAGCATGGACGAATTGCAATGGTGAAGAAAAAGAGAAAGGTGAAAGAAAGGATTTTTGAAAATGTCATATTTAGGGAAAAAAGAGAAGTGAATGAAAAGACACTTTTGCCATTCAAAAAACCATCACTCAAATTTCATTTTAATATCTAATTTCGGGTCCAACGCGAGGGTGGAGATGTCATGTCGCTTCAATTCTCAACCTTTTTCTTATGCTTTTTTCAAAAAATTAGAAAAAATTAAACACTTCATCAATAGGCAATACCTATGTTGCTGGTCTCATGTTGTTAAATTTGGGCTCTCCAAAGAGGCCCCAAAAGCCCAAAGAATCTGCACCTGAAACGGAAACGCTCCCGTCATGATCTGGTACGAGTTGACTCGCCATTTTGTCCCGATCTGCTCTTCTAAGAAATAAAAAGCTGTGGCATTGTCAACGTATATTGCTGCTAACTATACTTGATCGATGGGCACGTCGGATCTAGTACTGGATCTAAAGAATTTTGCCTGGGTCCGCTCGCGCTTAAAATTTGTCGAAGATTCTACATGATATCGATCGAATCTCGATAGGTCGTGCCCAAGATGAAAATTGCTTGCTTAGGCCCGCTCGTTTTGCCCTTCGGGTTTTGTTTACTGCGTCTAGGAATGTTGCTCAAACTGTGGTTTTTACAAATACTTATAACACTTTCCAACACGAGTTGAAGTGTCCGACGATGGTCTTTTGTCATAACAAGCTCGTGTTGACATTGTCGAAGAAGTTTTATTTTTCCATTTGAGATCAAGCACATCCATATCAAGTACCATTACATATGACAACTTAATTCTCGAGATGTAGATAGGGATTCGATGTGGTCCGTGTGAAGATCAAGTTGAATATCTCTTTACCAAACCCCTAAAATCAGAGCCATCGGCGAAGTTTGAAAAGCTTGATTTTTAAAGAGGTTGATGGAAATAATAAATCCTCTTAAAACTTAAAATTAATGTCTGATAATTGCTATCTTTAGCGGTTTGTCCCGACTATGTTTTGGTTTTCGACTTACTACTTGTTGTGTCTTAGTTATCCTTTAGGAGATTATGGATGTGTTTGTTTCACAGAAAACTCAAGATTTGAAAAATATTTTTTGAAAAATGATTGGTTATATTACTTAGAAAAATTAGTCAACAGAAAATATCATCATTATCGACAATAATTTATGCCTAGCTATTGTTATGGCGATAGCAATACTTTTCATGTATTCATTTTTGTAAACGATACAATCGATCATTTTTCGAAAAATATTTTCCAAATCTTGAATTTTCCGTGAAACAAACGGAATCTATATATATACCATGCAACCCTCCGGATTGGAGATCTATAAATAGAAAAGAATTAAATGAAGAAGTATTCAATAAATTTATGGATTATTGGATTTTGTGTGATTTTAATATAAACGTCTACGTTTATGATTATTAAAATAAGTATGAAAAAGTTCAGTTACTTCAATATCTAAAATGTAATCAAAGTAACCTATGAACCTTGTTGTGATTCTTATGGCTAAAATGATATATTGTATACTTGCAAATAATATGAAGCTAAATAAAATGGGAAGCATGAAAGATTATATGTAAAGCAAGAGTGATATATAAAACGTAAAGTAAAATAACGCATAAAATAAAAACCATCCACTAGAGGGGATATCCACTCTCAAGCGGGGTATGGATTAACTTAATAAAACCATCCACTAGAGGGGTAATCCACTCTCAAGTGGGGTATGGATTAACATAATAAATCACAATGTGGCCCTCGTAATGAGAGATCCCGTCGGACTAGTAAACAAGAAAGATAATTACAATGTGATCATCCACAAGGGGGTAAACCTCACCACAAGAATGGAGATCCCACTAATATTAGAGGATAGCAATTGAAATTATAAAATGATTAACTAACCATGAATAGGTTGGTGATCTCTTTATTCAAATAAAAATACTTACAAGTGATCGTGATCGGATGATTACAAGCTGTAGTGATCTTGTGATACAAGTGATTTGGTGATCTTGATGATTCAGGTAGAGAGGTGAGAAGAAGAAAAAGAAGAAGAAGATGGAGAAGACTAGAGATGGAGGTTGCGGGAGAAGTGATCCAAGATGGATGAGGAGGGGGAAAGCACTTGAGAGCTAGAGAGAAAGAGGGAAGCAAGAGAGCAAGGGGGCAAGGGAACCAATGGTAGTGGGAAAAGCCTGCTTATTCTCCCTCCCTTATGCATCCTTTTATAGAGATCTTGTCCCAAAATGGTTTTTTTTAATAATAATTATATAATTCCAAGCCAGTTTTCCATTTTGATAATCCTTATAATATTTCTACCATACTTAGTAAGGAAAAGAAAACAAGTTTTAAACCTATTTCTATAAGTGATCTTAATCACGAAATCAATAAACAAAAGCAAGAAATCCAAAATCTCAAAGCTGCTAAGATAATTATGCAACGAGAAATTTTAGATATTAAAATGAAGACTCTAAAAGGAAAACAAAAGGAAGAAGATTTTGAAGAAAATTAAAATCATGAATTCCCTTCTCCTTCTGATACAAACTTCGTTTTGATGCTTTCTGAAATATCCTCTAATCAAATCAATCTTTTGGATAAATCTGATACAGAATCAATTCCTGAAATAAATCATATCAGTTGGAAAGACCCTAAAAAATTATATTATTCTCGTGCTTCTCCTCCTGACATTCTTACAGAAGAAACTTTTTCAAAAACCCAAAACAAATATTCTTCTGGTGCAATTTATGAATGGAATACAGATGGTGTTTCATAACAAAACCTCATAAACGTTCCGACTCAAATGATTATGCTTGCTAATACTTATAAAATTATTCCTGACACTTATGATCATTCTGTTGCCTATCTTTTAATAGCTTGATTTACAGGCCAGCTCAAAGGATGGTGGGATAACTACCTGAATGATGAGCAAAGATCCCAAATTTTAAATGCTTATAAACTTAACCCTTTTGGCCAAAGTATAGTTGATGAGAATGACCAACCCATTCAAGATGCTGTCAATACCTTGATATTCTCTATATCCCAACATTTTCTAGGAGATCCTTCTCATATTCTTGATAAAAACCAAGATCTTTTATCCAATATGAAATGTAGATCTTTAGGAGAATTTAGGGAATATAAAGAAATATTTTTATCAAGAGTTTTCCAAAGAACAGATTGTAACCAACTATTTTGGAAAGAAAAATTTCTTGCCGGTTTACCAAAACTCATAGGAGAACAAGTTCGCAATAAGATAAGAGAAGAATATGGGAATCAAATTCCATATGACCATCTTTCTTATGGTGAATTAACCTCTTATGTTTATAAAATAGGAACACAATTATGTACCAACATTCGTCTTCAAAAACAGATAAAAAAGGAACAAAAGCTTTCTAACAAAGGATTAGGAGATTTTTGTGCCCAGTATGACCCATCTTTTGAATCTTTTGAAAAACCCAAATGCTCAGGAAAATGTTTTTCTAAACAAAAGGATCAAAAGAAATCTTATAAGAAGAAATTTGATAAAATGTTTTCTAAGAAAAAAGAGAATGAAAGTTTTGATAAAAACAAGAAACCAAGAAAGAATTTTAAAAACATTACTTGCTATAATTGTGGCAAGAAAGGCCACACTTCTCGATATTGTAAAATTAGCAAAAGGGTTAATGAATTAGGTTTGGACGAAGAAACTATTAATCAACTCAACCAAATAATGGCTGAGACTGATAGTAGTTCTTCTGATGAATCTAGTTTTGAAAAAGGTCTTCAAATTTGTGATTTAGAAACCTCTTCATCATCGACTTCAGAAAGTGAAGATGAAGAAGCCACCGATTTTGAAATAAATGTTTTAACAAAAGAAGAAGAAATTCTATTGCAAACGATTGATCAAATCACTGATCCGGAAACAAAAATAAAATATTTAAATAATTTCCAAAATTCCAAGCCAGTTTTCCATT